ACGAACAAGCCACATGCATTACACCCCACATGTCCCTTTAATCCTTCAAACATGCACCCTTTATTCTTTCATTAATTAAACCACAAATCAGCCACACATTCACCCACATGCACCCTTTAATCATTCAACCATAAAGCCACATGCAATCTCATTCATTCCAACACAAAACAGCCCATCCTTTGCCGTGCCTAACCTTGACATTTCTAACCTAATCCACAACTTTTTGCCAGCTGTTTTGCATGAGCATTCCCCATTCAAACTTCCAGCCTTCCCACTACATTATTGCAGCTGCATCCTCTCACCCTTTAATCATTAAGCACATGCAAAACTTCATCATTCATCACACATCCCTTGGCATGCAAAACAGCACCCATTTCAGCACCAAAGAAGCCTTTGCCGTGGCCTTCATTCCCATTTCCAGCATTCACATGTTTTTCCAACTCATCCACACTCAATGCCATGTCTTTCACTCCCATTTCCATCATTCACATGCTTTTCCAACTCATCCACAAGCCTTTGCCGTGGCTTTCATTCCCATTTCCAGCACACACTAGCATTTCCAGCTTTTCCCTTTACATTTCACATGCATTCCATACTTCTCCTAGCTGTTTTCCATCATTATTTCAGCCACCATTCACTCTTTAATCCACATGCATTCACACACACTTCACACAAACAACATTCACATGCTTTCACAAGCTTTAACCAACAAACAAATCAGCCACAACACACAAACACACTCAATGCCGTGCACTTCCCTTGCCTTTCCAGCATTCCCCTTGTGCAATTCCAGCTTTCCACCCACTTTCCTAGCTGTTTTTCACATGCATTGCAGCCACATTCTCACCCATTCTCTCCCTATATAAACCACACACACTTCATTCATTTGGCATTCATTCACTCCCCATTCCATCTCTCCATTTCTCACACCACAACTAACACAAACACTTCCCCTTAAAATCCAAAACCGTGAGTCCCCCTTCCACTTCTCCTCCATTGCTTCCATTTCCACCACTCCCCAAACCATCCACACCATCAAACTATCCTTAGACCTTATGCTACAACGAAGAGGAAGAGAAGAGGGCCTAAACGTTCATACAATTCAAGTTTGAGTTGTTGGAATGTTTAGGTGTTTCTTTGATTTCAATGTTTAATTCAATTCTCTTTGTTTTGTACGTATGAGGAACTAAACCCCCCTTAGCTAGGGGGTGATTCGAAATATATGTTTATGCTTGCAATATGATTTGATTACTTCTAATTACGTTTCATAAGTTGTGAATTCAATTTGTTTAACTGTTTGATTGATAACCTATTTATGTATGTTTATTGAGAATGAACGCTTAATTTTCATGCATGAATATGACGCTAGAATATAAGTGAGTTTCACGTAATAGTTATGAACTTATATTCACAAGTAGTGGAGGTTGCTTATAAACAATCGCGTTAAACAAATTCTTGGCATAAGTTTCATGCAATCATAGTAACGAATGCCTCGTCAACACTTATAGTTTTCATGATGCGTAATGATTCTTGCTTGTATCTCTATTATGCAATTCATGTAGGGAACTTGTGAGGAATGCTTTGGGTTGTCGTATGCAATCATCCAATTCATTAACTTAAGGAAAACTTGACGGTTAATTTAAACGGACCTAATTAACCCGGGGTGTTGAGAATTCATGGTTTATTGAAAAGCAATTAGAAACCATTTTGTATGCAAGTATAACATGTGTGGAGATGAACCCCTTAGCTAGCTTCCCATCCATTCATTTCCGTCAAATTCATATTTACAATTTGTTTTGTTTCCAAGTATCCATTTTAGTTTAAATTCGTCCAAATCCAATCCCCCCCTATTTCGTTCAAGTCTTAGTCTTAATCTTTCTTATTTTTAGTTTTGCATTCTTCGAGTTTAGTATAGTGTTTTAAACTTATTTTTACGTTTTTGAATCAAATCCAAGTGATTAACAATCCCTCCTAATCCCCGGTCCAGAACGATCCCTACTTATACTTATACTACAATTGACAAAAAGAGGGTTTAATTTGTGTGCGTATAAATCTCGCATCAACTGGAGTCACCTAACTGTACGGTTCAAATCCACATCCCAATAAATATACCTATACACGAGTCAGAACCACCTAAAGTGGTCTGTACGACAGGACTAGGTGTAAATAAATACACTCAAGTGCTACGATCACGTGAAGACTGTGCGAATAATCGCGGGTCGCCTACGAGTTGAAACCACCTATAGTGGTATGTACGACAGGACTATGCACTTAACTTGGATCCAAGGTAAGCGTATGGTGCGGGAGGTAAACATCACGTGAAGGACTGTGCCCTAATCGCCAGGATGCAGGTTTATGAGCTCTCAACATATCTCACATAATCATCAACTTATATAAACAATCTACAACTCACCTGGTACGTACCTGAGCGTCCACAGCATCAAATCACATTTATGCATACTATATTAATTCAATGATCTACGTATAAATCAATATGCATGGCATTTCTAAACACAATTTCATTTAAATCAATTTTCTGGGGAAAATCTCAAGTATATAGGTATATACGAAAAACCAAAAGCCCACTCATTGGTATGTGGAAAGGTCGTAGCCCCCAAGCCTCGATTGACTACGCTTATCCTGAGGATAGGTCTCGCCTATATGCGAAACAACTATATAAACATTAATTTAAAGCACATAAACGAAACAAGCTAATAACTTCTCATACATTGCTCAAATAGGGTGTTTGAATATACCAACGTGATCTACTCAACACCACGAACATCTCCATATTTTTAGAAAAATTTTCCGACCACTCATGCGCCAGCCAAAACACGGCCAGACACACCCCCACGCGCGGCCAACCCTAACGAAACAGTTAAAGGCAGTTAGGAATATTCCGTTAAAACTTTAACAGAAGTTAACGACGTTACCTGACGCCGTTAGAATATTCCGTCAACTTTGACAGAAGCTTCTCCGACGAGCCTCGCCGTTCGCCGCCATCAGCACCGCCGTCTGAAACTCGAATTTTCACCGGTTTCTGGAAAAACTTTAAAACTTCATATCTTTCTCATTTCTTAACCAAAATCCATGAAATTTGTACCAAAATGAAGTTTACAACGAGTAGAATAAAACCTTACGACTTTTAGGACTTTAAATCCAACGGGATCTCGCCAGAAAAACCCACGATAATCCGGCCACCACTGCAACTCTCCAAAACTAAGCTTCCCGACATCCAAAACACTCTAACTTTCTTCCTCGAGCTTCATGAAGACGTCCTAAAACTCCCTAGAACCTAAATTCGAAGAAAAGTCCATGATCACAATTACATCAATAGTAACCCAAAACTAGGTTCTCTGGTTTTCGGGTTTTACGAGCTCTCACGTCGAACTAAGGGTATGGATGAGCTCCTGAGCTTACAAAGAACACAAAACCAACCTCCTCGACGTCGATCCATGTAAGATGAAGCTAGTTTGAAGAGTGACCGTACAACTTATACGGACAATGGATGAAATCCGAGAAAAGGAGAGACAGAGGGTCAACGGAGAGGTTTGGGTGTGTGTGTGTGGTCCTAGTGGGTCACCAACCAAAAACAAAAGAAAATAAAACCTAAGTCCTAAGTAGTTCCAAAAGTATAGGAAAGTTAGGAATTGGACCACAACCAAAAATATATCACACACAACACATCTCAACATCCAAGGGCAATTACGTCATTTCCTTACTCTCGAGGATAAAATAATATACACCTTCGGGACGGGCTGTGACATTTATTAAATATTATTTTCTCTATTTTAAACACGTTCAAAACATCTTAAGAGACGTGTAATGCCGATTATAAAAAGATATTTCGCACGCAGATAATAATGTGGTTAAATTAGTTGTCAAATGATTTTTTTTTTTTTTAACAAACGATATTATCTACACTAATGGGGAGGGGTGGGTTTAGCCTCACAATGGGATAGCAATAATGTGAGTCAATCAGTTGCTTATTAAATATTATTTTCTCTTATTTTTAAATATGTTCAAAACATCTTGAGAGGGGTGTAATGTCGGTTATAAAAAAAGTCTTTCTCACGTGGATAATAATGTGATTAAATTACATTAAATTAGTTGTCAAATGATTGGTTTTTTTTTTAACAAACGATATTATCTACATTAAGGGGGAGAGGGTGGGTTTAGCCTCATAATAGGCTAGCAATAATGTGATTCAATCAGTTGTTTATTAAATATTATTTTCTCTATTTTTAAGAACGTTCAAAACATCTTAAGAGGCATGTAATGCCGGTTATAAAAAAGGTCTTGCTACTTTAATTGGTTTATAAGAGGTTTCTTCTTGCATGATCTAAGATTATTCATTTACTTCAAATATTTTACTTTCCTTTTGTCAATTTACGTATATAAATACATTTAAAATGTCTAAATCGTGCATAGCATGCCGTGATTCAAAAAATGCATTCTGTATGCGCGTTAGCGTGTGCATGAAGGCTAGTTTCCCTTAAAAAATAAAATAAAATCTCAGCTTTAGGAAATCCTTATAAGGAGTTTTTCTTTCACAATTTCAATGTATAAAATGTTGGTTAAGATCATTTTGAAGTCTGAAGACATATCACGGGTTTTATGTAATTGCCTTTGACAAAATAAATTTGAAGCGAAAAGGTGAGATTCAAGGCATTTAGGGATGATTTTGCTTCTATTTCAGGAGTGACTAGAGATTAAAGTATTGTTTTCTATAAGTTCTTAATCTGAACTAAGTAATGTATTAAAGCGATTTGATTGTATGGTGGAGGCTAATTGTCAAGTGAGTGAGAAGATCGTTGTCTTTTTACCATCACGGTGAGGTCAAATTAAGCACACTCTAAACCCTTTAGTTAGTAAGATAACTGGTAACTGCAGTTAAAGTTTTGTTAACCTATGTCTCCACTCTGCAGTTTGACAAGTAATTAGGAAACATTCATAAGAAAAAGAAAAGAAACCTCATCCCGTCATGAAAATTGAAGGTAAAAAGAACAATGAATGGCCATGTATAGCTCAGAAAGTAGAATTTCCTTCTCCCAACCAACGGAGCCTTTGAAAAATTTGGTTAACTACAATTCTATCTCACAACAAATACCTTTCCATTTCAGCTAAATAATGTTAAAAAAGAATAATTTAGTATGAAAAACTGAATCCAATTCAGTGAGGAGGAGGTATATACGCATGCTCAATTGCTGGTGTTGTTCGAGTACCCGATGCGGTAGGAGCCCTCACATGTCCAACCATTGATACCTGTAAAGCTTCCTCTTCATAAGCCCTTCTCTCCATCTCCACCATCCTCGACTGCTTCTTCACCTTCACAAGCATTGCCACTAGAAGCAGTCCCAAAAGAAAAGCACCCAATGCAGATCCAACCGAGCTTCCAACCGCTATTTTCCACTGGCTCACTCTCTTCCTCAACTGCACCGGAATAGGTTTCTCAATGACCAACCCGAAATGTCCATGCCTTTTTGCAACACAAATGTAAGGTTTAGTTTCCCTTGCCAATGTCACTTTGCCATCACCTTCAAAACTTGCACATAATGGCCTTGTACCCAATTCATTGTTCACCCTTGTGATGTTTTTAAAGTCAATGCTGATGGGTTTTTCTCCAGCTTCAATACCAAGCTCAAAAGGGTTGCTGAAGTTCACATCCGTACCGGCGTTATACGCTAAGAGGCCTAAAATCGGAGAAACAAGCTGATATCCAGATAGGTCATAGTTGGCATAATATATTGAGGACCAATTATATCCCAAATTTTGTCTAACTATCATGACCCTCTCAGCACATGGATGCACAGATACACCAGTGCCTAGATGAAATTCTTTTACCTGCGCGCCGTACCTTCGCAGACTGCCACATCTGTATCTTGCAGTATCAACTATGATGCCTGAGAAGTTTGCTGGTAAATTTACAGTGTGTAGTGTTCCTGTCCTGATGCGTGTGTCGTACGCCTTGAAGGTGACGTCTCGAATGAGAAGGTCGAGAAGACGGGCTGATTGGATCTTCTGAGCTTCAGATTTTGTGAACGCTACACATATGAATGAGAGAACAACCAATGTGAGAGAGAAGAGAAAGCCCATGTGAGAAAATGAGCTTGATTTCGAAGAGTGAATATAGTAACAATAAATCATAAATGTACAAAACGGTTTGGTTTGATTTTCTTGGAAGCTTGTACACTACAAGAATGTGGTTTTGGCTTATCGAATTCTATGAAAAACTAGATCTAAACAGATACAAGGTTGCAAATAGTTAGGCTTAAACTGTTTGTGGACTTTATAGCTCAGAAAAAGCAAAGTTGGGTTAAAGAGTAAGCAACGAAAAAGGAAAAAGAAAGTTCCTACTTTGTCTCTCCCTTTATGGAGGTCTTGGAGAGAATATGTATGTTAATCCTAAACAAAACCAAGGTTCTACAACACCAAAATATATATGCCTGTTTGTTTCATGAGAAAATGGAAAATTGGGTTTCTGAGAAAGAAAGAAAAATGTTGGGGTGGCAAAGGAGATGGAGTAGTCATATAGGATCATCATATGATAAGGTTTGAAGAAATGATGTTGAAGCCTTGTGATGATGGCACTTTGTGGCAAAGGGAAGTGAAAAAGGGAGGCTTGGCGTGCTTAGGGCAATGCAATGAGAGGGCATGGCTCTATTTTGGGAGGGCATATTAGATAATACTCCTGATTGTGTTTGCTATCATGTTCCCCACTTTAACCACTTTGTGTGTGGTTGTGGGTCTCACGATTATAGCAAGCATGGAATTCATTTTATTCCTCTCCAAATGGTCCACAATTCACATGGATGAAATAGTATAAAAAGTGAAAGGCAAGGTAGCAATGACCATTGTCTTGTCACTTGTGGGTGTTTTGAAGAAAATAGTGTATTGACAACCGGTAACGATGCAGAATATTGCGTTATCTGGTGAAGTTAAGTGTCTACTCTAGTTGTAAGTTTCAATTTAGGTTTTATTTTACACAAACGATACTAGAGAGAGGAGACAAGTGTTGAGAATGAGTTCCACATTATTAAGAGAGGACTTTGCTTGTGCATATAAATAATAGCGCTACTCTCATGCTGCCAATTGATTTTATAGTGGAACATTAATTTTCTTCAAGAAGAAAATATGACTTTAACTTCATGAATTCTTTTAACCAACCGAAACTCTTGAATTTTAATTTATGAGGGCAAACATAAAATCTTCCTCTTTTCTTTGATGATCATTTCTCAATTTGACATCGACAATCTAGAGTGCTTTATTATGTGACACAACGAAAGTTATAGCATAAAGGGTTCACAAGCGATCGCACTTGAAGGTTCCTAGGACGTCAGGGATTTGTGAGAGCAACTTTCGTTTTTTTTTTGAATTTTATTGAATGAAAGATAGTCCAAAATACAACCATAGAGTTTGTGTAAATAATCTGACAGAAACCCTGACGACAAAAGAATAAATGGGAAATAACTTAACCCAAATTAACAAAACAACCCAAATTAAATAAAAGTGCAGTTTTAACCTTTCAAAATGCCTCAAATGCCCAAATTATTGTATATCGTGGCAAAGTAATAAGTTTGATCTATCTCGTCATTTTCTTTTTAAAAAGGTATCATCAAACAAAAACAGACACCAATAATCCGAAAACAGTAAACTTTGCCTGCGCTATTGAGCAATTGTTCCACTTCTACGTCATTATGTGTTTGAGAAGTGCTGTTATATCACAAGGTCTTTTTCATGCCTTTTGATGCTATTTGCCGACAAGGCAGATGATGATGGTCATATCGGTATTTTGCAGGCCAACAGGATAGCGTTTAGATTCTTTTGGTAAGAATTTTGGAGATTCGTGAATTATGCTTGTTCATCTATATTATACGGTTAGTTTTTATCATGTACGGTTTGAGTTTTATTTTAAATAAAAATATTAAAATATTTTTTATCACACGATATACGATGAACAGATATAATTAACTGATCTATGAGATCCTCACAGCCGGATTCTTTTGCAGGGTAACAGAAAGTGTTTTTTGAATTAAAGATGTGATGCTTTAAATGTATTTCAAATATTATCTGGGAGAAAAGCATTTTTCAAAAAAAAAAATTAATGAAAATAGTTTGAAAATTTTGAGTTTTAACAATAAGGACAAAAAAAAAAATAAAGTGAATAGTACCAAGTTTGACTTCTTAATGTAAAAATATGATTTTTTGTTAAAGTAAACAGTACCGCAGATTTTTCGTTAAAACTCTAAATTCATGCACAAGAGTGGAAATATATGATAGGAAATATGATATCAACTTCTACATGGTAAGATGGAATTTGCAGAACACTTTTTTTCTTGTGTATATATAAATTTTTCAATTACAAGTAATATTATTACTTTAAGCAACACTAGGAAGATCTGAGACACATTGGGCTGTGAAAGACCTTATTCACTAGGACAATCCACTACTTGCAGAACACTTGTTTCAACCAAATAATACTGAAAACAAGCAATTGTACACATAGCATGTAAATATTGTTCTCTCATTGTTGTGATCAGTAAAATTACCTTAGTAAGGATATATGAGTAACCAAAGGAAAATTTTCCAAGCCAAAGCTACAGATAAAGGCCTTGGGGCTTTATAAAAAAAGAAGGAAAATTAAGAAAACAAAAAAGAGTGGCAATTAAGTAGGCGCGCATATTAAGTAATACAGAATCTCCGCATATTTGCGTGCTTGTTGTGCATCAATGGAAGTTGGTATTTGAATTGTAAGTCAAACCCACATTCCAGCTTGAAGGAGCAACATTCCAGGCAATTATAGTCTCTTTGCTTGTGTAGGAAGTTAGCCTGAAAGAGAGAGCTTGGCCTTTCAAGGTTGCAAATGCCTGGTATGAAGCTCCCCAGTTATGGCTCATTTGTATCCACCCTGATCTGCTTCCTTTCACCCACATGCTTGCAATGTCACCTCCTCCTCCCACATTCATCACATACACCAACAACCAGTACCCGTTTCCTTGGAAAGAGAATCGAAGGCCGCCCGACCTCATGCACGGCACTCTGCAAGAAAATCACATAGAAGATTTAGAATCCAATTGTGAAAATGTGATCATATAAAATCAACTATTTAGTTAAGGCCAAATCATGATTTTGGTTGCTATAATTTACGCAAAGTTTCATATTAGTCTCTGTAGTTTACTAAGTGTTGCACTTTAGTAAAAAAAAAAAAAAAAAAAAAAAACCCTAATGTATCCTAAATTTTAAGGCGTACCTGCGATACATGACGGGAACAATGCCGGCCTTCCACTGAGCAATTTTCATGAAGGCAGGTTTGGCCATGTCGAAATGGGTGCGGGGAGGGTTGCACCAGCCTCCGGCATTGGAGTCCTCGGACCAGTTTGGCGGACAAAGGTTGGTGGCGGTGACGGTGGTGAATTCAACATTTCCAAAGCATGCACTTGTCCCGTAACATTTTATCTGGTAACAAGTTCCGCAAGCATATCCGTTGTTGAATAGTGTTGAGCTCAATGCTGCTGTATCTGTACCATACCCATTACTGAACAAGTTTCCATAACCGCAAGCTCCTCCTGTACCAAGAAAACAGAATAATTAAGAATAGGGATTATTAATTAATTGATAAAGTACTTTATTTAAATATATCTGTATTCATCGTTTTTGCTAGCTACACTTTTCTTGTGTGGCAAGTCACCGATATAGTCAATCGAGAGAAATTTATACGCAATTAGTTCCAACAAAATAGTATTGCATGTACCATGTTTACTGACATATAAATGAAAAAATGGGTGTAACTTATTTTATCATGTGTTTGAATATGCAGTATTAATTTTAGTTTGATAATATAACATGTTAGATATTTGAAGGACAAATAATTTTCTCAACATATGTGAAATGAACATCATACATACCCATAGTCTCGGAGGCTGTCTCATCACCGTAAAAAGTAGCGTGGGCAAGGTTCCATGGACTCGGCCGGTAAACGACCTTTGCAACCACTGTTGTGCTAATGGTTACCAGCATCAATGACATGAGAAGGAAGCTGAGGCTCGACGAAGGAAGGAAAGACGCCATGGCTGTGTTGGTAGAGGTTCCTTTAAGACTCTGTAGGATGATCGAAGTACAAGTGCAATGCCAGTTGGTCCGTTTTGCATGCCTTATATAATGTTCAGCTACAAAACATTTCATGTAGCTAGAAAAACGACTTCGTGGCCCCAACGATGTTTATGCTGTACAATTAGTCAAGTAGGAGTATTATATTATTTGCTTATAAAATCAATAGTTTCAGTGAAACTGTTTTCGTGGCATCTAACGTGCTGGCATGTATGGCTGTACTTATTAGGCGGTTGATATTTTATTTTTTTTATATAATTTAATTTTATTAATCGTCCAAAGGATTTTATATTTATTGAAAGAATTAAGTTGGTGACTAATTGCATGAAAAAGGATACATTGTGTTTGATTACAATAGTATTATTTGCTCATGTTTTAAGTCAAAGTTTAAAAATTCATTAGTTGGATGAGTAATCCAACGGACAGAAGACAACATAGATTTGGCTTATTATATTATAGAATAGTACTATAATGACCGGAGGTTATCTAGAATGGAAAGGGATCCTCTCCGGATCCCTTCCACCAAATCCATTCAGTCAATGAATCGGGGTTCTTGAAATTTGATCCAATGATTAAAGTTATTTTAACTTTTAAAGGGACCCTGTTTTCTGCTGTTGGATCAAATTTCAAAGGTCCTGATTTATTGACTAGGTGGATTTGGTGGAAGGGATCCGAAGAGGATCCATTTCCAAATCAAATATAATTAATTATGATCAAGGAATTTTATTGGTTGTAACCAGAAAAGTTGTTGCTTGATAAAGAAAGTTGAGGTTCCATCTATGGGGAGTAGTCCAATACTTATAAGCATATGTCAGGTTCATCCTCTCATCAATGTTGGATTCATTCTAACACGTTCTTTCACGGTGAATTTTCAAGCCTAACACATGGACAACACAACTCAGGTTATGTAGAGCATGTGTGGCTGTTGGGCTTCACACATGATTTCCTGAGATTTTGTGTTAGGCTATTTGTAAGAAAACAGGTATTGTAAATTTTATTTTTCAAAATAACAATCATGTTTTTAATTTACTAATTTCTTGCTCAGTTTTATTTCTAGAAGTTTTAATTGTCATGAATATATGGCGTATATACAGAAGTCAAAGTAAATGTATGTATGAAAATACAAAGATCATTTTGGATTACCTACAACAATTTGCTCAAAAATATAAAGATCAAAGTAAATACATGTATGAAAATACATGTATATACTTTGATCCTTTGTAAAACGTAGAATCAACCTCGCCTTGGCTTGACTTAGCTCCTTTGTAAAACGGATCCGAGTTTTTATTTGGCTCAACTTAATGAAAATTGATTTTTTTTTTAAATTAAACAAATAAAAAAATAAAAACAAACTTGGAAATGATTACATGTCGAATATATGTAAAAAGCGAAATGTTCATGGGTTTTACGAGCTGAACATACCAAAGCTCAACATTGACTCATTTTTCTAGCAAGCCTAATAATTTGTTTGAGGCTCAACTCGTTTCTTTTACGAATCAAGCTTGAACGAGTCAAAACAAGTTGAACACGAGTCAAACTTGAACTGTTTGAGCCGATTTGTACCTCTAAGTGCAACCTATATGTTCTTGAGTTTGGGAAAACAAGTCATTTTTCACATAAGTTTTTATTTTGCTTTTGTTATCTCCGTAAAACTCGAATAATATTTTTGGTTTAGGCATATTTGTCAATTTGCCCCCAAACTTGCATAGAGTTGCCAATTTCCTCTCTGAACTTTAATTTTAGCCGATTACCCTCTTAAACTTTTATAAATAGCCAATTTTCCCCTTTACGATAGATTTTAAAATTTTCATCCATTTTTTTATCACCCGGGCAATACATGAAAACTGTATGGGAGAAAAATAATGGAAAATTGGATGGATGAAAAGTGGATGAAAAATTCTAAAATCTGACGTTTGGGTGGGGGGGGTGGAAATTGGCTATTTAAAAAATTTTAGGGGGTACTCAGCTATAATTAAAATTTAAGGGAAAAAATTAGCTAGTAGTGAAGTTTAGGGAGAAATTGACAGCTCTATACATGTTCGGAGGGCAAACATGCAAACATGAAACACCTCTTTGGTTTATTTATTTCTTTATTGCGTTATGGAGTGGTTGCAGACTTCTTGGGCTTTCTTGCCTTTTGATTCTTTGGGCTCAGACCCATGACCGGTACCTATTTCTTTGTCATGACCCATGAGCCGCATAATTAATCAAGTCTCGTACACGACAAATTTCTGTTACATCGACCCCAAAACCCGAAATCGTTCTCAGGCAAGGACTTCGACAATGGAGAAGAGAAGCAGAGATGAAAAGATGGGCGGGCCGGTTCCCCAGACGCGAGGCCCACCCGGAAGACAACTTCCGCCACCTCCTCCTCCGCCTCACTCCAGGGGTCCGCCGCCCCCGCCGCCTCGCCCCCGCTCCGAACCCATCGACCGTGAAAAGGTACTCTCCTTAACTTTCAGCTCTGCTATATTACTTCTTTAGGGTTTCTTTATTTTTCATTTTTTAAAAATTTATTATTTACTTTTTGCTAGCTGGTTTATAGGCATATATTTATGAACAGCTTTGTATTTTTGTATGTAATGCAAGACTTGCCCTCTGCTGCTCCGGGTTTTCACTAAGGTATGTGCAACTCAAATTTTTTTTTTTTAGGTTATTTTTTGCAGTTTTGATATTAATTTTTAGTATTTTTTGAATCTTTTATACTTGTGAAATTTGGCTTCTAAGTAATTGGAGTTAGTGATTTTTGTTGGAAATTCAAATTTTAGAAAAACCCATATCTTATTTACTTCAAATTGGCTTCGAAGCAGGTTTTGCTGATTTTGTTGCAGAGGATAGACTTAGGAAAAATTTGATGTTGGGGTATTTTTTTTGTGTTTTTTTTTAGCCCAATTAACAGAGCGAAGGGAGAAGAATTGAAAATTAAGTTGGTATAATTATGTCTCTCAATTTCTCTTGGCCTTGAAGGTCATTGCTCGAATTAGACCCTACAATCAGTTCAGTAGAAGGTTATGGTGGTGATTCTGAGATAGGTGTTAAGTTAGGTAATGAGGAGAACGAAGTACGTTGGGTTTCTAATACCGTTAAGACTTTGTTTTGGAATTATGGGGAAGCTTTGTATAATTTGGAGCTCGTGTTACCAATGAGAAGATAGGAGAAGTTGGCGGTATTGGAAGTTTGGGAACTGGATGTTAATATAAAGGGTTGGGTGCTGTTGACATTCCATTTCAGCCTTTTACATTTTCTTTCAACTCGTTTTCTTTGGCAGATTGGAGCTCATCACAGTGAGGTGGACTTTGCAGTGAGAGGCAATGAACCCAAAGATGAGGTTCAAATTTATACATGGAAAGATGCAACACTTCGTGAGCTAACTGATCTCGTATGTTATCTGTCTTTCATAATGTCATGGGTCATGTCATCCTATCCTCTTTCCCATATTTGGTTGAATAACATTATATTACTTGCTCCGAAGATGATTCTAGTTCTTTGTCAGGTCAAAGAGATTGCTCCAGAGGCTCGGAGAAGAAATGCTAGGCTGTCTTTTGCTTTTGTATACCCTGACAAGCGCGGTCGTTTTGTGGTGAAACAGGTACTTGCTCGCTTCTCACTTAGTGATACATGCATGCATCACAGTACACTATTACCCTTTGTATTTTCAAATCTAGCTATCAAGATGAGGTAGATACCCGAGGACTGCTCTCTGTATCCTCCGCTCGACAGATAAATGAGTCCTCTTTAGTGCTTCAACTCAAACTTATGCTCATTCAAGTCAAAATAATAAATCATCTCAATAGAAAAAGTGATATTCCTTTATACATTTTCACCTCTTTTCAGTAAAAGAAAATTATGCTTACACCAACATGTGAAATTATATTTCAACCATCGTATGCAATTATTAGTTTAAAATTCACCGTATAGCAAATTCCTTACTATATTTCATACTGATCTGATCCCAAGAAATTAGTTCCAGTTGGTTGGTTGGTTTCTCTCTTTTCTTGTTATTTTGAAATTTATTTTCCATTACAATTGGAGGTAGTCTACAGGGTGTGTATGCAGTATGATTTTGCGCATTTTCCAGCATATAGCTAGGTGGGAAACAAAACAATTTTGCTTGTGTACATATACAATTGAACTATTTTCCCCCGCTCTCTTCTTTTTGTTAAAAATCATGTATTTCTTGGATTTCTAAGGTTGGGATGACAAATTCTCATGGAAACGGGAGACAAGTGGATGAAAGCAAGGCACTGAATGATCTTAGCTTTCAGGTAAACTGAAATTTTATGTCAAAGTTTATTGGAGTTTGACCAAAAAAAGGGGTGTTCTCACATCTTTTCACTTTTTGTAGATTGGAGATTATTTGGACGTGGCGATTCTATAGAGAAGATGGCTGTGGCATTAGCACTGATGTTTCTTCGGAGGCAGCATTTTGGATGGATCGAGTGGGAAGGATGCCGTTAGAGTTTGATGCGATGCCCATTTTATTGGATGTCTTAAGCTTTAGCTGCCTTTACTCAACTGTCTTGCGGAGGCCGTTTGGTATGTTGTAAGGATTTTTAAACTCTTCGGAAGGATTTCTGTAATCTTAGTACCGATTTTAGTTCTTGCTGGATACAAGCATTTCATATTTATTGAAAACAAACCCAAATAGAAATGCTTTACAACTTGAGTTATTTTCCAATGTTCTTGCATCGGTAGCTCCGTTTCCGACCTACAAGCCTCGTTTAGCATAGAGGGTCGGATTGAAATGGATACCCTCTAACCCTACCATTTGCTGGGTGGCTGGGATTGGAACGGATAAGTTTTCGGACTGAGTAATTCATCTTCTACCTCTGACATATCTAGAAAACAGCAGTTCCATTGATTCCAATTCAATTTTCTATACCGAACGAGAGAACGAGAAAACAATGTGCACACAGGAGCTGAAGACAACTGATAATGGAATGCATAAGACTAAATCTGAACCGTCTGATCATGATATCTTCTTCTTTCCTTGTATTCATATTCACAATCAGCTGTTGAGATGTTCCAAAGAGACCCCAAAAACAAAGAAAATTGCATGGTCTTCTTCAGCACAAGAAAACGCTTACACAATACACGAGTGCTGATTATTCGTTAATTACATTTATGCTACATTTTATTTGAGCTCCCAAATTCTGATCATGCATTGCTTCCTTCTGGCAACGTAATCAGGCGCGACTTCGAATCATATACCAGTGGAGTTCCGCAGCTGCAGTAAAATGTTACTCATCACAGTTCAAATTAAATGGAAACACAACTTTTGTAAATCATGTCCAAACGAACACAAAATCCAAACCAAGAGAAAAGTATAATGCTTGGCTCATGCCATACCTCTTTCAATGGCAACGTGGACATCATACTTATCGTACAAATGTCATAATCAGAATGTTTCATTTTTATGGTTAACCGTTAATTTGTTTGATTCATATGAATAACTAATTGGTCTACAAATCCAATGATTTTTTTTTATTCCAGAAATGATGTTCAGATGATGATAAAGAGAGAGAACGATTGCAATTTTAATATTTGTATAATGAAATGATGCCGCTATCATCAATGAAGGAGCCAAGTAGAGTCCAAGGGATAAAACCACACAAGTGGAAACAAAACAAAGAAACGTCAATAGTAGAATAAAATGCTACAGTCAGTTGCTCACGCACGCTTGAATGATTTCTGAGTATTGATGCACGTGAGCTCCTTTGTGGAACTTACATATATCTAAAGACGGTCAGAAATCACCCACGTGTGCGTGACGGATTGCACCACTCATCTAGAATCATGATTAGGTTTATACTCACTTTGAGCATTTGATGTTGTTGGTGGAACCACCATTTGAAATGGAAAGTATAGTCCCAAAGAATGACAAGTTCTCTGTACCACAGTTTGGACAAGGGCCCTAGACAAACAAATGTGAAATGTTAAAAACAATACAGTATCCACAATTTACGTACGTATTCTTTTCAGACATCCCTAAGAAATGGCATTTGACAAGACGGAATCCTACCTTCAGGATCAAAACATCCTTGATAATTAGCTTTGTCAGTGCCTGAGCTAAGTAAACTATGACAGGCACAGCAGCAAACCATGTAAAAATGAAGCTGAATGGCTCCGGCAGCTGCAATCCAAGAATTTATGAAAGGTTGTTTTGAAAGAGTGTAAAATGGATACATACAGCAACCAAAACTTCATGGTTACAAGTTGTGTGTAATTAAAACAATATACCTCCAAAAGATATGTGATTTCGAAACCGGTCAGATCATCCAAAAAGAAGAACCTAGCAGATGAGGAAACAAGATTGTTGATTAAGTGGTAGATTAGATATCATCTATGTAAACTAGACTAAAACTTCGGTGACAAGAAGTTATTAGCTGGTTAAGCAGTTGACCGTATTTCGTTTATGTGCACGGAGCAAGCAGGTTTAAGCAGATGACTTACGCTGCAAGTGCGACAACAGTCGCAGGGACATTCAGCAGCAACATCTTCAAATAATCAACAGTCAGGTCACTGTAAACCTGTTGGAAGAAAGTTAATCAGTACAACCAGAACTTGGTTAGCCTTTTATCCCTGATTTCGCAACCAAGGTATCTCACAGAAATTGTATTAGAGAAAGAAAAAAGGACAGTAAAACATCCATGTAAGCTTAAGAAAACAAATAGTAGACAACTTAAACAACTCTTTCCATGGTAAATCAGCAGAAGTGCAGAGACATTTGGAGGACAAGCAAGAGAAAAATCTTTAGATCCGGTATTAAAGTAATGGGTTTTACTCAATACCTCTATAATCAAACAGGCGAATACGAAATACTAAAGAAATATTTTTTCCTAAAGAGATAATCCTTGTGATATTGGGTTTACATTCACATTTTGCAGTCCTTCTTATGAAACCACAAAATTAAGGGTGCACAAGGGTAATTCATACATGGATATATAGAGAAAGAGTGTGAAAACTCAGCGTTACGCACCTTTCTAGTACGGAGACTGCATCTTGGACCCTCGACTACAATATCACTCCCTTCCGTCTGAAAAGAAGAAAATTATGTTCACCAACTGAAGCAAATGGAAACGATAGATAGAAGAAACTATACTATTAATCATATTATGCGTGCCTAAACATGAAACCAACACACAGTCACCTTTAGCCTCATTTTCAGATCATCATACTCTTTATCTGTCAGAATTGGTTTCCCTAGACACATAGGCCATTGAGGCTTCCAGAAACTTCTGTTCATCAGAACCTGCACGGTAAAATTAAACACCAGAAACTGAAATTGTATCTTAGAAATATTACCATTATGAAATCCCAAGATATTGTGGTGCCAAGTCTCATTCAGAAAAATAAATGAAACACTACGTACTTAGCATGACAACGCTGCTGCCTTCCCACATGAGTTCCTCCTTAAGGTTATCGAATTCCTCATTTGACATAATCGCTTTTCCGTCATAGTAGAATGACTTTACGAGCAAAGAGAAGAAGAAACCATTTAGTATCTCAAATGCGAACATCTATTAGTACTTTCTTGTATCGGTTTATCCATGGAATCATAATGTGTTTAATAGCAAAACACTATAGTACTATAAAACATTAAAATGTAGTGTAAAATTACTTGTAGAGCTTGAAGAAAATCTTGTTCAAGTTCACCCAAAGACTTCTTCTTCTTGTCTATGCTACAATATGGCAAAATTTTACTGTCAACAACGTCATCGTTTTCGACCTTGCCTGAAAAAGGATATTGGACATGATTCAGGAAATATTCCAAAAACAAACCAAGAAAAGAGTATAAATTTCTGAAAAAAAGAAAGAAATGATTTTCAAGAACTGACAGCAAAAGAGATCACTATACGTGGTCTACCTAGCATTACTCGTTAAATTGTACAATAAAACTTCGTATGCAAAAAACTTGTCCACACTTCATGGTGTCAGCTAACATAGTTTAAGACTGAATCATGAATAAGTCCCTTTCAATCTGCATTAAAACTAAGGAAGTAAAACATCAAATTGAACACTTTCTTCTTCTTTTATTATTATTATTTTTTATTATTTTTTATTTTTTTTTTATTTAAAAGTTTAAATTATTAAATACTATCATGGCTAATGCGACTTAAGAATTAACTCATTTGTATACTTAGGTTGGTGGTCCTATTAATCTGCCCCTACCTATGCAATGAAGTAGAAATTGTATCTTCCACATAATATCTGTTTACTAATTAATTAGCACACCCTTTGTCACGAGGAGGCCAGTTGGCTAGAGCAGTGTTTTGCACCCAAGTTCCAATTTCCATCCTCATAGATTAGAATAGTTTAGAATATTGCTATTTCGAACAGAAAATATTAGGACACCCTCTATAGTAAGCAAAGTGTGAAATTACCACACCCCTGTAGTTTTGGAAAGATCAATACTGCACTGAACTTGATATGATTACTTAATTAGTTTGTTTCAATTATAAAAAAAAAATAAATACAAAAAAAAATGCTCAATCAATTTCATTCACTGATTAATCAACACTGCAATCAAAGCAGCTACCACAAAAAAATATAATTCAAAGCCTTATATGGACAGATGATCCTGACCTTGTTGGTCAGCGGTAGCCTTAGCCGGAAGTACCAAAAGGCGGCGGCGGCGGAGGCATAGCTGTCTGCCACTGATCTGAAAAGACTCAACCCTAGTCGAGGAGGAAGAAGAAGCGGAGACAAGGGGTCTCTGAATAGAGGGATTAAAAGGGGTTGTAGATGTTAAGGTGAACCCTAATTTGGTGGCCATTGGAACTGAGAAAAGCCACTAATTCTCTGGTTACAGAGTGAGCTGAGTAGTAAATGAAGACAGGATTTTTTTTGGTAATCTGAATTTTGGATTCATTTTTTTGGGGGGTGGGATTGTTTGGAGGGAAAGCGAAGAGAAACAACATGCGAAGAGATAAGGTGAGTGGGGAATGTGTGGAGGGAAATGCAACGGCTCTATTGTCCTCCAATTTCAGAGACACTGTCAAAACTCGAAATAGTATCAAACAAAACACTTACAGTTCCACAGATGTTTTCATCATCTTATAAAATCTGCCACGTCCTTATAGAAGACAAATAATTGTGAAGATTGCGTGAACAAGATATCCAATGCCTTGTCAAAGGATAAATTAAGATGGGATTCCATCTGAAAGTTCAAAGACATTGCATGTGCTTCTAAGAACTAATCTCAATATTGTCAATTGCTTTGGTAAAATTCTTTTTGGGTAATAGAGCAGCTTTGTTCTCCACCTTAGGCCTGATTTGGTACTGAGGTGATTCTGAAAAAAGTTAGTATCAAAAAAAGTTGGGAGCTGTTTTGTGTTTGGTAAACATTCAGCTTCAGTTTTTTTTCACAGTTTTGGGTAAAAAAAGCCAAAAACAAGAAGCTGCAAAACCCAGCTTTGGAAAACCGACTTTTTTTCACATCTGTTTTACATAAAAGTTTATCAAATACTATAATACTGTTTTTTTTTTTTTTTTCAAAAGCACTTTACAAAAAATTTTACTAAACACTCTAGTTGCTTTATTTCACAGCTGCTTATTCTCACAGCACAGTAGAAGCAGTTTTTTTTTTTCAAAGCACAGCAATACCAAACCAGCCCTTACTTAGGGGTTGTTTAACCATCACGTTTTAGTTTGCGCGTTCTTCAGGGCCTCAACCCATTAATTCATGGGAGTTTTAATGAAAAGCCCACAATACTGTTCACTTTAACGAAAAACCACATTTTTATACTAAAAGTCAATCCTGGTACTATTCACTTTACCCTTTATTTTGTCCTTATCGTTAAAACTCAAAGTTTTCAAACCCTTTTCATTAGTTTTCCTTTAATTCATTAGTCGTTCCACCACACTTGTCAACCCACGTCTTCATTTCATCCTCATACCACACTAGGCCTGGCAAACAGGTCGTGTTTGCCGTGTTTGTGTCTTTTTTGTGTAATATCTGTTATTTTAATGGGTCGTATTATGTCACACTCATTATCTTAACGATTCTTAATAGGTCGGGTCATTTTACCCAATAGTTAAAAATGACCCCTTAAGAAATTTTTTCTTTTCTCTTTCTAAATTGGAACATACCATATTGCCATACAAATATTACTTCAAAATATCTTAACATTGCCACAAAGATATCTTAACGAGATTTGCTCGATCCAGAGAGAGAATCAGAGACAAAAGGAGCAGATCGACAGGTGGTGAGTTACTAGGCTGTATGTGGTGACAGTGATGTGGTGGAGGGGAGCCTAGGTAGGGTGGTCGTGCACTTGTGGCTGCCCAAAGTTGAGGTTCGAGAGTGAGATTCAAGAGAGATCGAGCAATTGCTTCGATTCGAGCCTTCGAGAATGAGAGCGAGTCTGATATAGGGCTGAGTAAAACACTGGATTACGGGGATTAAATCTCAGCCAATCCAACCGTCATCAATTTTCTAAATTTAATTTGAATGTGTGTGTGTGTGTGTGTGTGTGTGTATATTAGTTTTCAATTCGGTTTGGAATTAAATCCTATTGTTGTTAATTATAGTATTTTTTTAGTGGTATAAAAGTATTAAATTCATATTTTTCTTATCATATAACAGGTTACCCACGTGTATACTTGAACTAAACCGTTATCTTAACAGGTGCTCATCGGGTTACCCGATTCGTTATCGTGTTGACCTGAAAATCTGTTAATTTCATGTCATTTCGTACTGGGTTAACAGGTCGTGTAAAAAACCACACCATGGTGCTATGGTGAGAACCATCCTCAGACATGATTCAATTTTTTTTTCTTTCATTAGATGTTTTACTTTTAGATCTTTAGTTGCATTACATCCTCTTTCCTTTTTGTTTTTTTTTTTCCTTTTTACTTTTTTTTTTAATCATAACATTACATCCTTAGTCATTACTGAATTTGAAAAAGATTCTATAATTTGTTTTTTTGTTTTTTTTTTGGATAAAAAGGTAAGTTTATTACTAAGACAACATAATTACAAGAGAGAGGCACAGTTACAATATCCACACAACACAAAAGTGGACCTCCAAAGTAAAACAAAAATCCAAAACCAGGTTATGGGCCCAACACCAAAAATACTGAGACAAACCCTAACAACTTGTAATTTCCATTGCCGCCATATTGCTTCTTACCCACCATCTCAAACCGTCGCCCCCAACAAATGCCTGAGATCAGGCCAAACATGGTTCTTGAGCTGGATGAAGAAGAAACACTTACATCCTCAAAAGAGCACCACCGAAATCTCCACCACAAATCGAAAGAAACACACAGGAAGAAGTAGCTTGCAAATACCAGTGCCAACAAAAGCAAAGAGAAGGAATGAGGTGGTAGTGTGAACACCAAGGTCGAAGCTTTATGCACCTTCCAAGGAGATTGCGAAAAATTGCGTTGAAGATTTGTGTGTGCAGATCCAGATGAGATCGATGAAGGATTGATTTTATGAAGATGAAGAAAGTTATGGAGAGGATTGATCATGGAGGTAGGGAAGGGGAGATTTGGCTTAGAGGACAATGAAATCAGAGGAAAGCGGGGGTGATGGATGGGAGAAAGAAAGGGAAGAAGAGAGAAGAAAAAAGAAACGAAGGATTGCCACCGACCTTAGACAAAGCTAGGGTCGGCGGCTTCGAAATTGAGGATGAATGGAAAAACACTCACAAACCAGTGAGAAACACTTTTAGGGAGGGAGAAGGGCTCTCACCAAAAGAGAGATAAATGACTTCAATTTCTATAATTTGTTTTGAGCTCAGATTTGTATGGAGTTAGTTTGGATGTAGTTGATTCAATAAACTTATATATGTCCCCAAGATTGATTAATTTGCTTTATTAATTAAGAAAATTAATAAAAATGGCTTGAAAACTTTAAGTTTTAACGATAAGGAAAAAATAAAGAGTAAAGTGAATAGTACCAGGATTGACTTTTTAGTGTAAAAATATGATTTTTCATTAAAGTAAACAGTACCGGAAGCTTTTTATTAAAATTCTTTTATTAATTTGCATAATTTTGGTGAATGTTATTGTTTGAGCCCAAAATACAAGTTCGACCAAGAACAAGGAAATTGGATGGAAGACCCAACATTCGACGCAACATCGGTTCTAGAGGGTAAAAATGTTGCAATCAAAGACACCATTAAGAAAGACCGTGGAGAAATTGCGTTTGAGCTGGGCCGAGTTCTAGATATAGACTAAAACAGTTGAGGATTGGCAATCAATTCTAATTAGGGTTGTTCAAAGAATCATGATTCATGCATTAATAGCTTGTTTGAATGTGTTTTTAAAAAAATTAAAAACGTGTTTAGTGAAATTGATTTGGGTTCCAAAAAGAACTGGAAAAAGCACAAAATATGTGCTTCTAGCAAGAAGCACTTAAAGTGCTTTACCAAGATCAACGGGATTTTTTATTAAGATTATTTTAAAAATATTTTCACCAAATGCACTTTCAGTTATCTTAAAAGCATTTTCAAACCAGTCATAATTTTTTGAAAAAAAAAGGGAAAATTAGGTTCACATCCTTCTTTTTACTTCATTGATTAAAATCCTATTCATTTTGAATTTTTGATCAAGGTCCTTGGGTATTAATAACATCATTAATTATTTGAATAATAAAATATTTTTATTTTTAAATATATTCCTTTAGTGTTAAAAATGTTACAATTAGAATATTTATATTTATGGCTAAATTTTTTATCATATATTTTTGTTTTTAGTTTGTACCAATTTTAATTTGCAAATATTTTTGGGTAAAGTACAAAAAACTACCTCAACTATTGCGGTCATGACAGTTTCATACCTCATCTTTTAAAATTGACAATGTCATACCGCATCTTACGAATTTGTGACAATGTCATACCTCCGTCAATTTTTCTGTTAGTTTTTCTGTTAAATGTTGACGTGGCAATAGACGGGGACCACTTTCTATTAAAAAATTATTAAAAACTAAAAAAAATATTTAATATTTTTTAAATATTAAAATAATAATTAAAAGTAAAATTAAAAAAAAAAGGGTAAAGTACAAAAAATTACCTCAACTATTGGGGTTACGACAGTTTCATACCTCATCTTTTAAAATTGACAATGTCATACCGCATCTTACAAATTTGTGACTGTCACATCCCGGCCCGGGTGGGACCACTTCCAGGGCTCGCTCCACCACCGTAGCACGATATTGTCCGCTTTGGGCCCCGACCACGCCCTCACGGTTTTGTTTCTGGGAACTCACACGAGAACTCCCAGGATGGGTGGCTGTCACGCCCTGATCTCGGTCGGGGTGTGTCAGTGACAATGTCATACCTCCGTCAATTTTTCTGTTAGTTTTTCTGTTAAGTTCTGACGTGGCTTGATTCGGAACATGCTTTCTATTAAAAAATTATTAAAAACTAAAAAACAATTATTTAATATTTTTTAAATATTAAAATAATAATAAAATCAGAGAAAAAAAAAACCCATCAGTTTGTCCCTCTCCTCCCCCTGCCCCTCCTCTCTCTTCTCCCCATCTTCATTTTCTTCCCCTCACCTGCAAACCCAAAAAAATAAAAAAATAAATAAAAATTTTGAAAACCCAACAACCCCCTGCAGAAGAACAAGAAGGAGAAGGAGGAGGAGGAAGAGGAGGAGGAAGAAGAAGAAGAGGAAAAAAAAGGAGGAAGGAAAAAAAAAAATCCCCCCTATCGGCGCGGAAGAAGAAGAAGGGAGAAAGAGGAGGAGGAAGAAGAAGAAGAAGAGGAAGAAAAGAAGGAGGAAGAAGAAGAAGAGGAAGAAAAAATATAAATAAAAAATTTGAAAACCCATCAACACCCCCCCTGCGGAAGAAGAAGAATGAGAAGGAGAAGGAGAAGGAGGAAGAAGAAGAAGAGGAGGAAAAAAAGGAGGAAGGAAATTTTTTTTTTTTTTTTTTTTTTTAAACCATCAACTCCCCTACGGAAGAAGAAGGAAAAAAAAAATTTTATTTTTTTGAAAACCCATCAAACCCCAAATCCACCACTTTCATCCATTCTCCACATCCTCTTCCGCACTCATCCTCCACCTTCTTTGTACACCCATCTTCCCACCGACGAGATCTGGGTTTTTTATTTTTTTGGGTTGCAGGAGGGAGAAGAGTGTGGGTGTGGGTATGGGTGTGGGTGTGGGGAAATTGAGTGCGAGTGTGGGGGGAAGACAAATTGGATTTTTTATTTTTTATTTTTTGTTGGGATTTGCAGGTGGGGGAAGAAGATGAAGATGGGGAGAGGACAGAGGAGGGAGGAGGGGGGAGGGGAGGGACGAAATGAGGGGTTTTTTTTTTTTTTTTTTTTTTGCCTTTTATTATTATTTTAATATTTAAAAAATATTAAATAATTATTTTTTAGTTTTTAATAATTTTTAATAGAAAGTGGGTTACGAATCAAGCCACGTCAGCACTTAATAGAAAAACTAACAGAAAAATTGACGGAGGTATGACATTGTCACAAATTCGTAAGATGCGGTATGACATTGTCAATTTTAAAAGATAAGGTATGAAACTGTCGTGACCCCAATAGTTGAGATAGTTTTTTGTACTTTACCCCTTTTTTTTTTATTTTACTTTTATTTATTATTTTAATATTTATAAAATATTAAATATTTTTTTAGTTTTTAATAATATTTTATTAATTTTTTAATAGAAAGTGGTCCCCGTCTACAGAAAAACTAACAGAAAAATTGACGGAGGTATGACATTGTCACAAATTCGTAAGATGCGGTATGACATTGTCAATTTTAAAAGATGAGGTATGAAACTGTCGTGACCCCAATAGTTGAGATAGTTTTTTGTACTTTACCCCTTTTTTTTTAATTTTACTTTTATTTATTATTTTAATATTTATAAAATATTAAATATTTTTTTTAGTTTTTAATAATATTTTATTAATTTTTTAATAGAAAGTGGTCCCCGTCTATTGCCACGTCAGCATTTAACAGAAAAACTAACAGAAAAATTGACGGAGGTATGACATTGTCACAAATTCGTAAGATGCGGTATGACATTGTCAATTTTAAAAGATGAGATATGAAACTGTCATGACCGCAATAGTTGAGGTAGTTTTTTGTACTTTACCCAATATTTTTTTAATTTGTACCAATTTCCTTTTCATTTTTAATTTGCACCCATATATTAGTTTCTTTTTGTGCCCATATTTTTAAAAGTTTTATTTGTGTTTGTACTCATGTGTATACCGTCATGTAATATTGTATATTTAATCAATGATAGAAAAATTACATATGGTATATTTATGTTTTATGCCTAAACTTTGTATTATATATTTATATTTTTAGTTTGTACCACACTTTTAAACATTTTTTTTAATTTGTAGTATTTTCTTTGGCTTATTATATGAACACCCCACAAATTGTCGAGTAAACCCCACATACTTAATATACCCCACATTTTCTTTTTCACTTAAAAATTATCTTAATACACTCCACATACTTTCCCATAATACCCCCACACCCCACATTCTCAATATACCTCTTATATTTTGTACATACACCTTACATCCAAGTAAATGAGAAAATCCATAAAATAATTCAATCTACTAAAGTACTAAGATCTTATACTAATTTGGATTTTTTGAGATCATTCTAAAGCATGGCTTTTTTTATTGAGGATTTGGCAGGCGGCTATTGGCAGAAGAGATCCTGGATCCCCATTCAAGCAGCTCTTTGCTTGTGTCATCCTTGTGAACAATCACTTCAACGAAGCACAAGCAGTATTTCTTCTCCCCCGTTGCTGTTGCAATCGCTTCCGTTAGCTACTCCTCGGTACCAACCTGAGACCGAAAAAGAAAGGAAAAAACACATACATTAGGTCATAATTTACTTATAATCTAACAAAGCAAGTCCAATGCTATTCATGCTCTCAGTTTGTACTCTAAAAGGTGAATATAACTATAGAAGTTTAAATAACGCAGCAAACGCAAGATTAAATAATTATCGATGTCATCGAAATTGCTAAAACAATGAAAAATATGAAGTCTTACCTCATGTAAAGCTTCCGAAACATCGATTTTGTGTTTCATTTGTCAAAAATAATTTTTTTCAATCAACATGTTTGTAATTTCATTGGTTAGAGTTTTGTTCAACAATGGAGGAGGAGAGAGTTTTGATAGTTGAGAAGATAAATAATACGCTAAAAGTGATTTGGGGTATATTTAATTTTTTTTTTTTAAAAAAAACCTAATAAGGTCAAAATTGTCATTGCATAATGGGGTAAATGTCACATCCCCGCCCGGGACGGATCACTTCCCGGGCCCGCTTCACCACCGTAGCACGATATTGTCTGCTTTGGGCTTACCATTCCCTCACGGTTTTGTTTTTGGGAACTCACGAGCAACTTCCCCGTGGGTCACCCATCATGGGATTACTCTCGTGCGCTACTCGCTTAACTTCGGAGTTCCTATGGAACCCGAAGCCAATGAGTTCCCAAAAGGCCTCGTGCTAGGTAGGGATGAGAATATACATATAAGGATCACTCCCCTGGGCGATGTGGGATGTCACAATCCACCTCCCTTAGGGGCCCGACGTCCTCGTCGGCACACACGCAGCCAGGGTTAGGCTCTGATACCAAATTGTCACATCCCGGCCCGGGGCGGATCACTTCTCGGGCCCGCTCCACCATCGTAGCATGATATTGTCCGCTTTGGGCTTACCATTCCCTTACGGTTTTGTTTTTGGGAACTCACGAGCAACTTCCTCGTGGGTCACCCATCATGGGATTGCTCTCGTGCGCTACTCGCTTAACTTCGGAGTTCTTATGGAACTCGAAGCCAGTGAGCTCCCAAAAGGCCTTGTGCTAGGTAGGGATGAGAATATACATATAAGGATCACTCCCTTAGGTGATGTGGGATGTCACAGTAAATAAGTGATTTAATATTAAATTTTAGTTTGAAGTGCATTCAACATTTTGTAGGGTGTTAATATAAAAAGCCTTTTCTTTTTAGTTTTATTTTGTACTCATGTATTAATTTCTTTTAGCGCCTATATTTTTAAAAATTCATTTGTACTCATAATTTTTAATCTTTTATCTGTACCTTAATTTATTTATAATGTACCCATTCTTCTTTATTAATGTACCACTTTGTTATATGTGTAATGTACCAATTTTTTCGTAAAATGTACTAATTTTTTTAACACTATAGATACATTCTTTTGCCATTTATTATTTCTTATTTTTACATAGTTTTTATCCATTTATTCAATCAAAATGTTTGAATTTTTTTATTGTAACCGTTTGTAATAGTATCATAATGAGGGATTTTAAATTTATAGGATTATAAATCTCATAAAATATCAAACAATTAATGTCAAAACTATAAAACTATAACTATTAATAGTAACATAATGAGGTTGACAAAATCAGAGACCTTAATCAAATTTTGAATATTATTAAAATTTTAATTAAAGAATATTAAAAATTAGGAATCCCATCCAAGATTTCAAAAAAAAAAAAAAATCTTCTCTAGTCTTGTACAAAAGAAATAAATTTTCACGAGGCAATAAGCTATGGTTGTGGCGGCAAAAAAGTAAGGGGTTTGGATACAAAGAAGCAAAGCAAAAACCAACTGGAGGGCTCGCAAGATCACAAGGATGCAAAGAGGAGGTGATCGGCTCAAGGACGACGGAGATTTCGACAGACTCCGCCGCAGCATCATCCAGAAGCTCAAAAACAATGTCCGCCCCCTTCTCTCTCTCATCTGTCCAAGGATAAAGAATTTTGCTAGTTTATGTATTTGTTTGTGCCTAAGTTCTTATGTATTTGTTCAAAACGTAATTGTAGAAATCAAGGCTTTTGTAAATTGTACCGATTCAGTTTTTTTCAAACTAATTTTCAGTGAATAATCTAATTAAATTCAGTGAATTGTTATAGGAACCTTGTATGTTACGCAATAATATTCGATTTGATTTTTTTATTTGGCCAAAGTTTTGAACTTTAGGGTTTGAATGGGGTAGATTGAAAGTATGTTTGGATGGTTGGAAATTGTTTATAATTTGTATGTTTTTGAACCAAATTTGTGTGGGTTTTTCTGAAAGAGGGGCAATTAATTGCAGGAAGAACTGCGAGAGGTTATTACTTTTATTGTGAAGCAATCGGCAGCGCTTAATCACGAAGGCACTGAGAATGTGAAACCCAGACACCTTTCTGATGATAATTATCTGGAGGTTGGGTTAGTAACTAATTTCTCGCTTTCTGCCGGTGATTAAAATGTGACTGGTGACTGGTGACTGTTTAGGTTTATGTGGTGGTGGTTTTGTATTTCTTTGTTGAAATAGTCGAAGCAATTTACAGTTTAATGATTATACAAGGGTTATTTTTATATTTCTGGACTTCTAAGCAGATAGTTACAAACGTTTATTTGATAACTCTTTGGATGGTTATTGTAATAGGATTAGAAATGTAAATTGTGTGGGAGCTGATAATACCTTTTTTTTTTTTCGTTTGGTGTGCTTACAATTGCTAGGGACTAAGTAATGAGCCACGTATCTGATGAGTTGTGGGGTATAATCAGATCAAGTGATGGCATGAAACGTGAAATAGCAGAAACTGTTCGATCTGTCTACAACAAGTTGACTAATCCAAATGGGGAAGCTAAGGGTGAAGCCTCCACTCGTGAATCGTGATGTTCCAGTTCAAACGAAGTTGACAGTAATGGCTTAGTTGTTGCTGCCGCCAGTGAAATTCCTGGTTTTGGCTGATGAGTTTTCGTGTATTTCAGTTTTCACTGTTACTATGCAACCATCAAATTTCAGAGACAATGCAGCCAAGGATCAATCTATGGTAACTGCTTAATTAATCTTATTTTGAGTTCCTACAATGGGAAAGTTCCTCTGTAATTCCCTTGATAGAGTGCGATACTGTTGACATATCGGGGATGTAGCTCCTGGATATTTAGTGTATTCAAAATTATTAGCTTCCTTAGATGTAGACCTGATGACCTGAGGTGTGAGTAAACAGGAAATCTGATGTTTATCATTCTTGAGCAAGGATCTCGTCACCTGCTTTCTGTATTATTTGCTGACTATGTGCAACATCTAGGTAAGGAGATTATAGAGTCTCCCAGTGGAAGTTAATTATTAGACTTATATCAGCAGTTTTTTACCGTTTCGTCTTTGGCATCTATTTTGCACCATTCTTAAATTAGATGGGAGAAAGTGAACAACTAACATACAACCGTAAATTGGATGGGAGAAAGTGCATTGCGTTGTGAGATTATTTTTTACCGTTTAGTCTTTGGTATCTATTTTGCACCATTCTTCTTTGTCCACATCCTGTTTATTGTTGTTAATCTTTATTATTATATTTATGTTTTAATTATTTTTTCGATGAGAAGCAGATCCAAGATTTCTACATCATATACCTGGTATGTGAGGTTTATTTCTGTTCTAGACTTAGATTGTCCAAGTCGTTATCTCCTTTAAAATATTACCATGTTATTGAAGGAAATGAGTACATTTATGTTTGATCGCATAGAGCTCCTTGAAGTTTGATGACATTACAAGTCACCAGGTGCCCACTGTACGATAAGCATCCATTACTCACTGTAATTTAACAGAAACTGGACTCCTAACAACATATTTAGCAGAAACCCATGTTAAGAATCCTTGAGTGAATTCACCTGCTTCACCTTTTGAACCAATATGGCTAAATGTCACTGAATACGACATCTTCTGGTTCACCTTTGTGAAGTTAAGTGTTTTGGGCTTGACACTCACATATACTCCTTCTGGTGCATTAACCTTGACTGCATAAGATGAATATGCCTCACCAACACTTGTCAGAGTTCGTGTGAATGTCTGAGATGGTCCCAGTGTGACAGAAAATGAAGGGTAGTTCAGCTCTCCTTCAGGTATGCTCGATACCATTGAGCATTTTATTTGTCTATGCACAATGATACTGATTTCATCATCTTTATAGCCCAAGCCACAAAGATAAGGGATATAATCATCAGGTTGAATATCATAAATTAATCCCGGGTCATTTGCCTTTGATGGATTGACCTGGCCGGCACCAATGGCTAAAACATCTGCAGGCTGAAGTTGTTCATCGAGAATAGGTTTGCCTTCTAAATTTAGAAGATCAGCAGAAGTCATTATAGCAGATTTAATGGCAGCTGGTGACCAGTAAGGGTGTGAGCTCTTAAGCAAAGCTGCAATTCCACTGAGATGCGGGCAAGACATTGAAGTTCCAGACATTATATTGAAATTGACTTTTGATTTTGTGGTATTGTCAACGGGAAATGGCCATGCAGCAAGAATGCTTACTCCAGGACCAATAATGTCTGGTTTCAGAATACCTGGACTTGCCAGGCTGGGGCCTCTTGAAGAGAAGGAAGCAACCACCGGAGTAGATGAGTCTCCGATGACAGTTCCTTTGAATAAGATTGTTGCTGTTGGTGTTGCTGTTGAATTTATATATGCTTTGATCTTCAGTCCAGCTGCGTAGCTCACATGTGTTGCCGGAAGAACATGAACATCAGCTGAAGTACTGACGCCGTCAGTTTCTTCATTCAAAAGAATCATGGCAGCACCTCCAGCGTTTTTCACTACTTCTCCCTTGGCAATCCTTCCTATACCTCCCCCTCGCTCACACACAACTACCTTACCTTTAACAGGGAGACCTTTCAAGGATCCTTCAGCACACAATGCCGAATCATTACCATTTACTCCAGCATAAATAAGAGGCATTAATGTTGAAGGGAAATCACTGGGCTGAAAGAGAGATTCACCATCAAATACTTCTCCATTTCCAAGTTTTGCTGTGGCTACAATACGTCTGTCTATTGTGCTTGCTCCAACTGTTAGCATCCAGGGGGCTTCATTAGATAGTGTGCCGTTAAATGGGCCAGAATTTCCAGCTGCACAACTTACAAATATTCCTTTTTGGATTGCTGCAAATGAGCCTATTGCAGTGGTGTCTTGGAAAAATGGAACTGACACTTCACCAAGGGAGATTGAGATCACATCAACACCATCCTGCACAGCTGCTTCAAGTGCAGCTAATATATCAGCATCTGGGCAGGGGTCTCCGAAGCACACCTTGTATATTGCTAGGTGGGCATGAGGTGCGATCCCAACTGCCGTACCTTTGGCATTCCCTAAAACATCAGCATTCTGCACAAATGCACCAGCAGCAGTGCTTGCTGTGTGGGTCCCATGTCCGTCTATATCGATCGGTGCCTCAGGTTTCTCTCCTTTCAACGCCTTAGCTGCAAGATTGAAAGCCCTTGCACCAATTAATTTGTTGTTGCAGTCTGATGCATTAAAGTCACACCTCCCCTTCCATTTAGCGGGTGGAGGTGGAATTCCTGCACCACTAAATGAAGGATGGTTGGGCTCAATTCCACCATCCAGCACGCCAATGATCACGCCCTTCCCAAAATTTGACTCCTTCCATATTCCGGTTTGTTGGTGCAGCCCCAAGAAGTTGGGTGTGTGTGTAGTTTTCCTACGGAATACTCTTTGAGGATATGCTGCCACAAAGCCATCCATCTCCTGCATTGCCTTTACTTCGTCCTGAGTTAGTCTAGCAGCAAAACCACTGATCACTTCTTGGTACGAGTAAAGCAGGCGTGGCGGTTCATCTGCGCTTGCTGTGGTAACGGGCAGAAAAGATTCGTGCCAGCTCTTGAGGTCTTCTGTTTGAGCAAAAACTCTGCCCTCTGGTTGCCTTACATGGACAATGTATGTCTGTAAATTCCTCGTTGTAGTAGTTGCTGGTGAGAGCTCGTTTTTCTGAGCGGTAACATAACAGAAACTAAGTACGAAAATGAGAGTAAAAAAAGGCATCACAGCCATGGTGAATAAAACCCTACTGAATGAAGTAGTAAGGATAGTCGAAGATGCCTGTGCTTCTGTTATGAGTAGATATTCTCAGGAAAGCATCATATATAGTTGAAGGAAGCGGAGAATGGCCGGCATTTTCACAGAAGCTCAGCAATATATCTGTTGGAGCTTTATGATTTGGGTCCGTGCAAATTTGATCCTATTCTGGCCTTATTATCATCTTCTGTCCCACGGAGAATTTTATTTAGTGATTCTATTTTTACTCAAGGCGGCAACACGGATCTGTGCAGGTTTTATTTCTACTTCAAGTGGTACTGCTTTATTTGCATATTTTGCTTAGCTGGTTTAGTTTTATGCCATTACTGCATGTCTGACCAGTTCAAGGATTGAGCGAATGAGTCCATTTTTCCTTACCTTTTTTTTGTTGTGAACTGGACGATTCTTAGCATGTGTGGAGGTTATTCTCTTCCAGTAGGAAGCCATTATTAAATGGACGTCACATTAGCGACCCATTTGTATGATTTTTATTGTGTTTAGACGTCGCTGTCCTGTTTTGTTGGGTTATATTTTGTCACTAGCAGCAATCTCACACACACTCGACATGCCAAATGCGTGCCAAATGCGATGCATTCCTTGATGGATTACTGGTTTCTCTGCTTGAGCTAGTCCTCAAAGTTAGAGTTCGATTCACTCTGATTGTAATTTGAAAAATGATACGTTACTGGTACGATTTCTAATTATACATGTATATATGTACGTATTTTGTAAATATTTCTTACACATGGCCAACTATTACTTGGAATTTATGCCGATGGGAATTGTCCATACTCAGTGTACAATACCATACTACACTTCGTGTGATTTTGTCTTTTATCCTCCGGAATATTTTTCTTGACACTTCTTTTTCATGCTGTTTCTTCAATGGAATAACAAGCCTGATCTAAAGAAACCCTCATTCTACAAGGCTTTATAATTAATTATTATACAAGAAATATAGAAATATTGCTCATTTAAACAATGTTCAATTTATTAGTATTTATCAATTTAATGTGGTTTTTTTTTTCCTTTTAGGTGTCGCCCTCCTCATCTAGTTGTAGTTAGCATGAACCGTAAATGGTGAAGGTAGCTGGAAATGAATAGGTTGATCCTCTAAGGTTTTTCGTGGAAGACGATGATGGTCTTTCTTTCAGGTATTATTGTGAATATCAATAATGAGTACAACGAATAATCTTGCCAAGTCTTTAGAATTAAGACTAGACGAAAAACTTGAAAGAACAAGAAATACACACTAATTTTTTCTCTCGCAAACACTTTGCCCTTACAATATTCTTACTCTAGTTATGAATCCTAATTGGGAATACGAATCCAATTAGGAGAACAACCCCAAATAGGAAAACAATTTAATCCTCTTAAGACTATAATTCATAATAGACTTATGACAACTCATTATGGGCTGGAAAAACCCAACAATATCCCCATCCAGAATATGAGGAAGGCATACCAAAATAGGATTGCTCCTTTTGATCAAACTTCCATTGATCAAACTTCTCATAACTAGGTCCACCTGGATTGAACTACTTATGACCAAACTCTCTCTGATCGAAATTCTCTAGACCAAGCGCCTCTTGATCAAACTTCTGTTGACTAGGCTCAAGTACTCATGATCGGACTCTCCCTGTTTGAACATCTCTTGACCAAGATCTCTTGATTAGACTTCTCTTGACCAGTCTCTCATGATGAGAACTCTCCTCTTCATTAGTGTTGGAGGCCAAAATTGCACATGCAAGTCCAATTATGTCTCAAAGCCCGATTGTTGTAAAATAACCCAAGCCAAGCTTAAACATATGCATAGGTGTGGAATCGAGAATATATACGCCACGTTAATAAAATAAAAATTATGGAGTAAGTGTTTGCATAATCACGCCAAGCTCATGCCCAAGCGTATTCATCACGCCAAGCTTTGACATGACATTGCTGTCATGTACAAATCATGTTAACTACAATACATGCTCACTTAAGCCCAAGCTATGTGCCAGGGCTTGCTTAGTGGATCGTGATGTAGATGGTTACATAAGTTTTATTGGGCCTATGTGGAATCAACAATATGGAAGACTTTGGGTTAGTTGGGAGTACCAAAGATCCAAGCCCACAACCCTTGAGCTCCACATAGGTGAGTTTGGGAGAGAACAAATTAAATTAAATTAAATTTGGTTGCTTATTGTGATTAGGATTGGACTGGCTATCCCATGACTCATCGTTCAATCTCTAGGTATTGTGTATTTTTGGGTAATTCTCTCATCTCTTGGCACACAAAGAAGCAGAATACCATTTTCTTATCCTCCACCGAGGCAGAGTATAGGGCGATGGAAGGTACTTGTTATGAGGTCACTTGGTTGAGATTTTTATTTGAAAATTTACGATTGCCTCATTGAGGAGCTTCACTTTTATATTGTGATAATCAAGCGACTTTACATATAGTGGCAAATCTAGTTTTTCATAAGAGGACACATCATATTGAGATGGATTGCCACTTTATTCGAGACAAAATAATTGATGCCACGATCCCTACTCGACATATACTGTCTTTGTAATGGTTAGCATATGTGTTTACAAAGCCTTTGGGCAAGGAGAAGTTCTTGGTTATGTTACGCAAGTTGGGAGTTCTTGAACTTCATTCTTCAACTTGAAGGGGAGTGTTAGAAAGTCAGTGTTCTTAGTTAGAAAATATTCATATAATTGGTTTATATTTGATTTCGTATTTATGATTGTAATCCCTAGATTATGGGTTTAGCTATTGTACAAGAAAAGCTGTTGTATATATTCCTAAGGTATTAATCAAATTACTAACCGTGCCAATCATATTTTTAACAGACTTGCGAAAGCATCATACAGTATGTTAGCTGAAGGAAGCGGAGGATTGGCCGGCATTTCACGCTGCTGGAGGATTTGCAGTCACTTCTTACCGCAATCTGTTGCGGTTACTCGGGAGAGTGTGTAGAGCTCCGATATTCCTAACACCACCACTTTCTCACTGGTTGCTGCCATTATTGGCAGCATTGCTCGAGTATTGCCACGAGCTTCTTCTACTGTGTGATTTGTTTTTTCCTTTGGTGCTGCGTTGCGGTTGGTTGATGCAATTGGAGAGGCGTTTGTCGGTTCGAGGCATGAAAGCTTGCAGATCCGGTTGGTTCCCTGTAGCAGAGGTGGTGGAAGAAGAAGATTAAGGGTTCTTTTGTTCTTATGGGCTCTTTTTTGTTTAACTTTGTTGGCCCACTTGTGCTTGTATACTAAGGCTTTGGGCTTTGGTTTGGGTCCACACAACCAGTGAAAAGGGACTCTCAGAGAGAGAGAGAAAGTCACTCATGAGGGAGAGAAACTAATTGATCATCCTTGCCTTTTTTGTTAACCGGACAGTTCTTAGCATTTATGGAGGTTATTTATCTTAAATTTCAAGTAGACGAGCCACGGGCCCACTTTAACAACACCGATACTGTCCCCACTTGGCCATCTGCTCAATCTGTTAGGTGTGGGGTTTTAATACAAAAGGTCTCGGTGTTGGTTAGAGTAGAGTAATTCTATATAAATTGCTTGTTCTCAAGCTCTTTGGTCTATGTGGGACAAAGGAATTCCAACAAATTATTCTCTTCTAGTAAGAAGCTACTATTAATATAATTGATGTCACCCTAGTTAGCAACTTGCCTGAATTTTTTTGCGTTGGGACTTTGCTGTCCTTTTCTGTTGGGTTATATTCTGCCACTAGCAACTTAGACATTAGAAAGAGTCGTTTCTTGCAAGTCATGGATTGCTATGTGGATAGAGTATTCTTCTTTAACCCATCGTACTCTAGATTCAAACTCTTATCCGTCTATCTAGTGTAGATGAATTCGGTTAGAACTAAACAAATACCAATATTTGTTACCTTATACTTAACCCAGCAGCATTTATAATACCAATATTTATTTATTTTGTAAATATTCTTACACAAAATGCCAATTATTCACTTGGAATTATGTAGATGTGAATTGTGCATAGTGAACAATCCTACACTTTATAGCCTCGTTCGTTATCCAAATAAATTTTCTTCACGGCTAATCTATTTTATACCTTCACTTAAACGAAAATTGCAAGTGGACATCCCATTCTCCGTTTGTCATTCCATTAAATCCGGTGAGTTGTCTATCCAAACCAATCCTAGACTACAAATTGACGCCTACGATTATCTTTTAGCGGACAACATATTTATTCTTGTCATGCATAGAAACCGTTACTTGCAAATGAAGATACTACTCATATAAACATAGTTCAATTTTTACTAATGTTTGTAATTTGTTTATATTTTCCATTTCATCCCCATTTTAGTATTTAGTTAGCGTGAATGCTAAATAGTATTATCCTCTCAAACATCTCAATAGGTTTCTTGCATCCCAAGTACTGTCACCTATTCGAGTACATGTCACAGAGAACGTTGCTGTTTGCTTCGTCTCCGTGAAAGTAATTACAATGGGCACTACACGGTTGTCAAATCCTTGTGGCGGAACAACCCATAGTAATAAAGTGAGAAAGCAGAGCCAACATTTGTCGCTGTCCTTGTAAATGTCAGAGGACTCGGATCAAATGCATCGGAAGATGAAGGATAGTTGTGCTGCAGGTACGCCTTTTGGACTCGACATTTTATGCTTTGTTATGTGATCATGCCTATCTTTCACTGCCTGTAAGATTCAAATCACATAAGTAATTGACATACTCATCAGGATAAATGTCACATATTTTTAGTCCATTTTTTCGACTTTTACAATTCTAGCCTCTAGAGGGCGCATTCAGCATTTCTTGAAGGGGGTTCGAGGAGCTTGGGGTTGCTATATTTCTAAATCACGAAAGAAGGTAAACTTGTTTAGTCATTAATATGTCATCCGCAACCTCTACTCTGAACTCTGGAAGTGAAAGGGCTGATGAAGCAGACCCCACCGCGATATAGCAGAGGGTGAAAGTACATTAACCATGAGAACCTGCATTGTGGAACATGGGCTTCTGAAACTCAATTATCCAAGTCACCAGATCAGCTGCTCGGTTGGCTTCTCTACACACGCTAGAGGTACGTATAATCTAAACCTTTGAAGACCTTGCTTGAAGCTATTTAGTTTATTTTTTATTTTTTATTTATCATTATGCTCGACAATCCCCAAATTTGTATGTTGGCTAATGCTGTTAGATTATTAGTTCTACGTTGAAAAAAAAAAAAAAAAAAAAACAACTGAAGAACTGTGTCCATCAGCTGATACAACCGTAAACAATCCATTTATCCATTTACTTCTTTTATCAATTTCAATTCTAGTATGTAAGCAATGATACAAAGGACTTGCAAATCGAAAATTAAATCTTGAATGTCTAAAATGGCACCGCTGGAGTATCACTTATTTATTGAGCTCAATTCCTTCTATCGTTCTCTGCAATCTTGTGATGTCTTTTCCTATGTGTCAAAGATCACAGATATGGGGATAGTAACAGAATGCTGATCAGAAACCCATCTCAGGTACCCCTGATCAAACAGTATACCATCCTTCCTAGCCCCGTCTTGTGCAATAAACTCCACACTGAACGTAATCTCTTGGTTAACCTCTGTGAATGTTAGAACCTGAGGATTCACACTCATGTTCATTTTATGTGGCACATTAAGATCCAGCTTGTAAGTTGAACTAGCCGTCCCAACATTCTTCACTGACCTTGTATAGTGCTGAGACTTAGACTCGTTAGATGACCTAGTTATAATAGAAAATGAAGGATAGTTGAGCTGTGCTTCTGGGAT